AAGCAGCTGAGGATTATCTTGAAGTTGAAATCTGTGATGAGTTAAGGAAGTATGCTGAGTAAGTGAGATCATACCATGTTTTTGACATAAAGATATTTTGTTGGAGTCAAACCTTTCAGGGAGTTTCGTGTGCTTTCTTTAGAATTATTGGAACATTGCTACCATCAGGATGATGCGCAAACCTTGCAGGTTTGTCATTATTCACATATTTTCTTGTTTAAAGATCAACCCCACTTTATTTAGCTGTTAACATATGAACTTTCGAACTGGGGATGCCAAACTTGCCTTTCTCTCGCTGTGATGGTCAACAATAAGCAATTTTTAGCGCATCCATGGTATGAGCATTGTCCCTCATTTTTTTTTTGAAAAACCATTTCCTAGTTTGCTTTTTAGTCTGATCGATTACTTTATCTCTTTTCGAGAATTTCTATTACCTTATTTAAGCTGCCAAATTTTGTTAGCCGATCTATGGCATGGTGGATTACGCATACGAAGGTGAGAGTCCTAATTCGACATTTCAATCTGCATTTTGATATCGTTCTGCATTTCCAGTCATTCGAATATCAAAGTTTTATGTGGGCTGTTGTTTCCATTATCGATCTTCATGCTAGAATTCAAAACTAGGGAAGAACTTCTCAATCAGCCGCAGGTAAGAGCTACTTCTTTGTGCTGCAGTCGTCTAAAACGAAATTCAGTAGAAAAATGTAGTCGACTTTTTTTTTTCTCCAAGCGGGTCGGATTTAGACAGCCGCCGAGCATGAACAAGATCTCAATGAGAGCAGCAGCTCTTCAAGTTCCAGCTCAAGTTCGTCCGAAGATTCGAGTTCGAGTAGCTTTGATGACGAAGAGGAAGAGGAAAAAGTAGTTGCAGTAGTTTGCTCGTCTTTATTCCTCTTAGCGATCTGTTACTTTATCCCTAGGCCGATTTCGATAACAACCAGAAACGGAGTCGACGCGTGTCACATGGAAGCGTGCAGTCTCTCAATATCACTTCCGTTAGTTTTCTATCTTTGGTTGACAGTTTGACTTTGAGAGCAGATAATGAAATTATCAGCAAAGATGGATATTTAGCTTTTCCACAGTCGGAGGCGAAAGAAGCTCACTAGAGACGATCGTGAGACTGATGTGAGCGAAAGTGGAAAGCCGGATAGACCTGAGTATGGTACGTTTCGAGGTCGGTGTACCGTGAAGTGTACTCATCGTGCTTGCGCTTTATTGGTCCAATTGGTCCATAATTGTATCCTTTCGCGTTGAGCTCTAATTAAGGGTCAAAGTTGAACATCGCATCATCTCCAACGCCACCACCCTATGGCAAAAAACGATCGCGACTGCCATCGTATCGTCTCAATGGTGTGGTTCCAAAATCAGAAACGCGAAAACCATCTGTTTATGAATCCAACAGTGAGAATAGGATAAGGTTGATTATAATCTAAAGATGATTGTTCTTTTTAGATAGTTTGAAAAGAGCAGGATCTATTGTGGCGGTGACAAAGCAAAGTGATGATCCGTTCAATAATCGTCCTGGATTTTTAACCACCGTCGGAGCAAATATACCTCGAATGGTAGGAAGCTCATCATTTCACTACATTATTTTGGTTCACTCTTGTAATGTCAGTGGTTCCGTATCTTTTCATTTGATTTACTATTAGGTCGGTTAACAAATGTCTGTTTAACGTTAGTAAGGGGTTTTTTTTTTTTCAAATAGCAGCTAATTGGATTCGGGATTCCTAATTCCCAAATAACTCAGTCTTTCACTTTCTTTCATAAAAATCAAAAGTTTTTTTTGCAGGGCCAGA